GATATCGGAATGGTTTTAAGCCTTGTTCAAATATTATGAGTCCTGCCATTATGACAACAACAACGACAGCACCACAAATGACTAGTATGTTTTCGATTCAATCGCAAAAAAATATCATTCATTGTGTTTTCTGTCTATCCGTATCAAACAGCTCAACTATCAGCTACCAGTTCATTCGACTTCAATTCACCAGCCATCATTCTGATTTTTATTCTCATTATAACTCTACTCGCTACACTAATTGTATTCTCGATAACAGTAATTGTCATTTATTTTCTTGGTCTTTGCCGAAATAGCGATCGATCAGCACATTACACGTCAAAGTCAGCTCAAACCAGACGTGAGTACTTGCACCCAGCTTGATCACTCATTTCCTTTCGTAATCACAATCGATCACGACCTTAGGGTTACCGCAACAAGAAGAAAAAGACACAATTTATCTCACGCCGTTAATTCGCCAGGCACCAGACCGAGTATCTGGATTCGATCGTCCAGCATTCGACAGAAATCAAAATCTTCCCCAGCAGCAGATACTTGACAACCCACATATCCAACTCGTAAGTAGCACCACACCACAACGGATGTAAATCTTCATTGAATCATCCCTCCAATAATTTCATCTGCTATTTTAGTCGCCATATTATTACCAATGTATCTGAAACCTTCCATAATGACTTTCATGTTGGATACTTATGTGAACCGGTTAGCAGTCCGCAAACATCTACTTCAAGAATCACTGGGACCAAACCATAAAACTTCACGATCGACCTGTACATTTTCCTTTTTGTAGTTTTCTGTAATATTGAGCCACATCATCCGATGACCAAAATAAATTTCATTTTCCTTCACTCTACCAGGACAACCATAGCAGCGCCCAACTCGTCCTTCAGAACGGGATACCACTCGTCAAAATCTTCCTCAAGAATTTCTACTATTCATAGAATCAACATATAACCACCCAATACTGAATCAACATGAACCTTCATACAGAATCATTCCACAACTGAAAACTAGCTCACCTGCCACCTTTGTACTATAGAGACAAATTCCCAAAGATACCTGATGATGAACGTCCCTTGAGAAAGGACGAAACTATAGTCGTAGCATTCTCTATCTTTATCACACCCACCCTCGAGTACTAAGAGTAACATTACAATTATAATTCAGTGCTCTGCCGGTCTTTTGTGGAACCTGTCTGTGGACATATCAAATGCCACGAGCAAAACCCACCATGTAGGACGATAATGCATCATGGACGACAATATAATCCACCATGGGCGACAAGAACCCATCGTGCCCAATCACAGCTCACTATGCTCAACCCGCGCCCACCATGGCCAAGCTCCACACACCCTGGCCAACCCGCGCCCACCATGGCCAAGCTCCACACACCCTGGCCAACCCGCGCCCACCATGGCCAACCGGCGCGCATCTAACATGGGCCACTTTCATTGTTTTTTTCTTTTGTTTTTTTTTCACATACGTGAAGTCTGACCTTTGACCCCGTGCAAACAGACAGACAAACTATTTTATTTCATATGACCCTCCTTATAGTCGAGGGAATCTGGTGCTGCTACATAGATATTTTGCATCGATCATGTCAATAAAGAATGCAACAAGATTCATCATGTTCATTTATGAAATGCTCGAATATAAATATATATCACGATGACATCCATTGTGTGAGCGGTCGAAAAAAATGAAAGTTAATGAAAATGTTTTTTTCTTTTCTCTACAGTTGAGATTTGAGTGAGTCGAAACGACGAAAGTTATTTATAGGAGTTATCATTTCGATGATTCACCGTTAACCTCGCTCAACTCTAGATATTCGATCAATTGTTCATTTCTATTTGACTTATGACGATCCAACATTTCAAACAGTCAATTTCGTTGGTCACGTCTTTAGTTTAGTGTTTTGATATGTTGCTACTGCTACTGTTCATTTTAATCGAAGAAATATTTTTCCAATTCTAGTTTGATGAAATTCTTCTGAAAAGGTTGTTGATGGTAATACGTATAAAATAAAACCCAACATTTGTGGTAAATATGAAAAGAAATAGGTAGTTAACAAAATATATCGTTGCCAGGATTGTTTTAATTCAGTACATGCATATGAAAATGATGTAATTGTTTGTGGTAATGAACTAAAGACAATAATAATCGGGACAACGTACTGTTCCTTTTGTTCTTTCAGTTGTTGCATAAGTAGATTTGTAAAGGTTTGTTTCTTATTTTTATTTGCTCGTGCTCGACTGAAAGCCAATTGAATGATTAAGATTGTTATGGAGATAATTTGAATCAGAAATGGAATAAAATAATGAAACAACACATTGACACGATTATAAATTGCAATAGTTGTTTGAACATAACTTGTCACACAAAGAGTTGTATCAGTAGATGTGTAAGAAAAATCAACAATTGTTCTATAATTGATCAATTCATGTATATGCATGCTAAAGACAAATATTATGATAAAAAGACTTAAACCGAGTGCTCGGCGTGTACTCTTTAAAATAGGAGATGTTGGAAATAAAACCAAACATAAACGTTCAATTGTTACCAAACTTGTTAACCAATAAGTAATTCGTGTGAATACAGAAAGAAGATAAGAAAGGATTTTACATGAATAGAGATTAACACTTTCGTATTCGAATAAGATTCCATTACTTCCAAGGATAACATGAACGATTTTCAAGAATAAAAGTGACAAGGAACATTGATCAATAACGGAAACAATTAGGAGATAGATTCCAACAGGCATTTGCCGTGCTTTTGGACGAAGAAATGTCAGAAAACTGTTGAAATTATTGAACAAAGCAAAGAAAAAGATCAGAAGTGAAAATGAAATGTAGATTCCAACAGAAATATGACGATCATTTTGAATATCTTTGGTAATCAATGAGTCCAAAGTAATACTCATCAACTCTGTTGAATCCTGACACATCTTTCCATTGAAACAACGTGGACAAATACACAGAAAATCCGATTTATTATTTAGTTCCCCTTTCAAACAATAACCATTGGCTAAACACGAAGAACATTGATCCAGTGAACGATCATATTCAAAACATTCAGCACGATAATAGTCAGATTCACAAATACAAAGATATCTCAGATCACGGAAACATATCAATGTTGTGTTCGTGTTGTTTTTTAATTGACAGATTCGATGATAAAAGAAAACAGAAGTCGTCGAGTTAAACGAAGAGTTATCAACATTTTCTGAAAAGCAATTTCATCTCTTTCGAAATAAAAGATTTCCACACTTTTTACCTGTGTTCTCAATTAAATGCCATAATGTTTCAACTGGTGGACAATGGCTTTCCGATGTCAGATCAATTGTTAAATTTATTGCCTTTGGGTTAAATTGAAAGTACAAGAGAAAATACTTTGCTTCTTTGCCCACAGAACTTTTCTCATAAACTCTCAAAACAGCTTTGATTGGTGCATTTGGAGCAACTTTTTCTTCGTAGCTGAGCTTCAACTCAGAAGGGAAACCTGCATAAACTTTTTGAAGAGGAGTATTGAAACGTACTGCCCGAATATCATAATCACTGGAGGCAACTGTTGCAGCAACCACGTCGCTTCTTTGCAAGACAGAATTTTCCGATAATAGCAATAAGATATTTATCATTGGTTTTGGTGTTTCACAATAAATTCCTTGAAAGAAATCAGTACAAATGCAAATAAACCTGCTGATATTAGTAAAATCATAGAGGAGAACATAAGTTCCTCCATTAAAACATAGTTTTCGTGCGCTATTGTCGTTTTTGAAATAACATTCGGTGCCAAATGTTGATGTTGAACACAAGCATAATGGATGACCTTGATTGTCTGTTAAAATACCACGAGATTTTGGTTTACAAATTGATTTAGGTGAACAATAATTCTGACATTTCTCATCGTAACGTTCACAACGAATGCCATAATAACCGCTTTTACATGAACAAATCGATTCCGAAGAATTCGAATTGATAATCTTCTGGCAGATTCCATTTTCGCTACACAAATGATTTAAACAAGGATCAGGAAGAGTTGTGGAATCGTCGGATGGAAAACGTAAGATTTTAGCTAAACGAAATGATGGAAGAAAGTCAAAATAGATCGGATATTTCCAAACTCCACTGATTTCGATCTCTCCATTCAAATGTAACTGAAATATTTCAAACTGAACTTTGTATAGTTGAGTTCCATTTCGATTTGTCTTTTTTATTTGCAGAAATTCTTTCGATCGTGGATAAACAAAATAAATCTGTTGTTTAACAAAATTCTTTTCGTTTTCTCTTCGAGGATCAACATGAAATTCATAATAGTCAATGATTTTATCTTCAAATAAGAATGCTGCTAACACTTTGATCGTATTCTGAAATGATCGATAATTATTCAGATCGAGATGCGTGAGAACTGTAATCCGATCACTATAAAACTGACATTGTTCACCATAGAAACTTGATGGACAAAAACAAACTGTATGACCTGTGAAATATTTCACTGCAACACCGCGATTACAAATATATGGAAGATAATCTTTCGAAAATTCTATTTTAGCCTCTTCCACGGAATCACGAACAATTTCATAAACAGTTTTTCTTCCGGAATGATTCGAACCAAATACTCGGGTCATTTCATCATTTGATTTCGAATTGAATGAAGGAACGAATGAATGATTTCTTTCATTTTCAATCAATGATCGACGAGCCATTTTAATCAAAAAGTCTTTTTGTGACGGATAATTCTTTAACTGTATTACTGGAAGTATTTCATCTTTAAGCTCTCTGTATTTCGTTGATTCTTGATTTAATGATAGACATCGGTATTCATCTTCACCGTGAGAACATTCTCTTCGATCATTACATCGAGCATCTTTAATGCAAGTACCGTTTAAACACATCACATCTTTGGTACCATTGCAAACATTTGTTGAGATGTTTTCAAATCGAAATTTCTGATAAAAACACGCTGCATTATAGTCTACATCGTCAGTCGGTATCCACTTCAAGGTATCTGTACATAGATGACGATACGTTGCACAAAAACCATTGTTGAGTTGAAGATAAAAACCTAACATACCGTAACCTGTACATCGTAATCGATTTCTCTCATCCAAAGCAGTTAAACAATCTGTTTTTCCATCTCCAATCTGTGTCAAGTTAATACATGGACGATGTTTTGTAACATTCAATGGATCATCGATACCACTCCGAAAACATGGATATTCTCTGGAAATATTACAAATATCAGAAAATGGAACATTATCGAATCGATACAGTCCAGCACATTTGCCTTGTAATTCGCTTAAATTCTTTAACATTGAATTATGTTCATTAAGACGATCGATCGCAAAAAGACCTTGTTCATCTGATCCATCACCACAATCCCATTCTCCTACAAATGAATGCAAATTGAAAGAAATCAAAAAAGTGAAAGGAATCAATGTTACCATCACACACCCAACTCAAAGAAATACATTGTCCGGATAAACATTGATATTGATCACGAGGACAAATCCAGTTTTTACAAAACTCTATTGACTCATCAAGTGGTGAGTTTATATTGAAAAATGAATCACAATACAACTGAAATGGAGCTCCCGCTACTAGATGGTCACTGAGAAGAGAACTATTCACAACTGTAATGCCATTTGAATTATTTTTCGACGAAGTTTCAATGTATTCTCGAAGATAAGTACATCCCAAACCTTCTCTTTCTATGCAATTAACGTTGCGCATTGGGACAGCACTAACTTCACGCTGAAATTCATCTCGCTGATTAGAACAATGAGGAAACGTATCTCCTACGGCACCTACTAATAAACAAGTCAATTCAGATGATGAACATTGAAAACGATGACGCTGAATTTCTAGACAAGAGTTATTGAGATTTGAAAGTTCATCATTATTATTAAAACAATCCGATATTCCATCTCTGACTCGATATTTGGAGATACATCTTGTAAAACAGCGAAACGAAACTTGATAAGAATGATTGTTGAATGTTTTCGAATCGTTCCAACAATTTACATCATAATGTGGACCCGTGTAACTTCGAATGCCTTGATCTGTTGTTATCATAATACAAAGAATATACTCGAACGTCGTGGGATCATAAAAGTACATATTTTGCGTAACCTTGTAAAACCTTCTCTGCTTTGTGATAAATTGATAACCAATACATTTTGCCCTTCCATGCAATCCATATATGTCAGGTTTTTTCTTTGTCCAATCATGATCACGTTCATAAACCATATCCAATTGAGGAGTAAGAAGTGGCCCAGATCCCGGATAGAACACATACGGCTTTGAACATGACTCGAGAACTGTTGAACGGCACGCAGTAGCATTTTTACATTGACAATCCTTGTTAAGGCCATAAGTCAATGCGCATTTGATAGAGAAATTGCATTTATCAGTACTGACCGTAGAGTCGAGCCCCAATGTTTGATAATTGACTGAGTAAGGTAAACAATATCCATTATCAATCGTCCACCATGATCTCGATTCTCTTATTACTGATTCGCACATGAAATTCACATCTCGCATATTATGACAGAAGTTGTGCCGAGAAGAGCGAAGACCTGTGTGTCGATCAGCAGTATAAGGAATGCATTGGCCTAGAGAAAAATAGTGCAGAACTATTGACTTTGCATTAAATTAAAATGAGAGCCTACCATCACCACATGACCATTGTACATAGGGACACAGATGTTCATCACAAACTACTGAAGGCGTAGTGAAACATCCGAATCCTGAACCAACAAGAGTGTCTTTTTCATCTGTCCAATCCATACAATCGTAATCTCCATCTAACCAATATTCATCTGGAATACACATTCCATTCGCACATCGATATTCATCATCTTCACATTCATTAAATTCTAATTTTTCACAATAATCTTCATCAATTCCATCCATACACTGTTGTTTACCTGAATAAAATACAAATGGAAAGACTAAATTCCATTCGTTCACTTCTTCTTACCATCACAGATGTGTCTCCAATCGAGACACATCGATCCTGAATTACAAATCCATGTTATGTAACATGGTCGATTCTCATGAAGTTGCCTACCAACATAAATCTTGTTAGTGTGCATATCGTAATTTTCGAATGGTTGAAATTGTTTGGTAATTGCATCATGAAAAGAAATACTTTGCCCATAAAAGAGATATTCACAGAATTTGCCAAATGACGATGGATTTGAACAATTACATAAATAGTGATTTTTCAATTCAGTTGAATTGTTGGATAAATATTTGGAATAACGATCAACTTGTTCAACACTTGAACTCCATTGTAACACTTCTGATGGCGACACTTTCAATGCTGATAACTTTTCAAAAGACCACAAATGACCACCATTGTGACATGATTGATTGAAATCACGTTCTAGCGGTTGACTCTCGTTCAACTGACGACAATATTTCACTGCTGGAATATGATTTGAAACTACTGTTTGTGTATAATAAATACAATCATAGTGTTGTACTGAAGGAGAGTTTTCCGTATGATAAATTAATACGAAAGAATTCAGAAATGTTGATGAAAAGCAGAAAATGTACCAAAGATTGATCACTCTCTGATAAGCTTTCATTGGAAGAAATCCTTTGAAAACGTTTTCTCTTAAGGGAAATTATTGATTAGTTGAAGAGATCTTCATGGGAAGATTTGAAATTGACTGAATCAAACCAGAAATTCTACTCACCTTTGATTGCACGTTCTTCTATTTTTCTCGTGACTTTTGAATTCTTTTTCAAATGCTCAATGACAGTCAAATGACATGGAGCTTCAGCTATTTATCCATGTCGATGGTAATCTGATATTTGAGAGAGAGAAAAAGAGAAAGAGAAATACGCTTGATTCTTTCATTTCTATTGTTTCTCTGCTTGTGGCAATGTGATCAAAACGTGTTTTTTTGGTCAAAAAAAAAAGCGGCAATGGCACGATCGTTTTTACTAGTTGGCAACGTTAAACTATATGTAACTTTATTTGATCTTTTTTATTTCTAGGAATATTTGAAATTGTCTCGAGAATGTGTGGGGAGCTTGGAAAAACAAGCAGGTTCGCCCTCATACCGAAAAATCGACAGCGTGTCGTTTGTTCTATAGTTTTGATCAAGTCGAAGAAAGAGGATCCTTGATTCACTTCGATTCGTGCCACTAGATTGACGACACTTCTTGCAAAACTCGATCGTTCTTCACAGATATTAGTCAATACTGATCGGTATCTCTTACTGTATCTTACAATAAATAGATATTTCTCAGGATTCGAGCGATCTTTTCCTGTTAAAAAATGTTGTATCATGGTGAACTATGATAACCATGAAACAATATGAGTTACTATCCCCGGCAAAATAGAATGAACGCGGGTATTTTTTCAATAACTTTGCAACAATAACAGCTATCGACCTGCAGTTTTCATCATTCGACACCCCAAGTAGGGAGAAACTTAACCATGTTAAAACTATTGAGATTACAAAATTTTTATGTTTCCTGGAGACCGGAACTTAAGTTCGGTTGCCGCAATCCAAAACTTTCAATTACACTTTTAAATTTAGCAACTCATTTTGATCAACCATATGTTGGTCTGTATTTCCTGAAAGTTTGAGAACTACATCATTTTTTGTTTCTCAGTTCGGTAGCAGTGGCGTCGCCAGGATTTTCAGATCAATGGGCAAACTTCCCATATATAGAAGAAAATAATGGGCAAGATTTTTACTAAAAGGACAAATTTATCAATCGTAACGAAAGTTTAAAGTATGACAAAAATACAACAACAGATAGCGAAGTTCTTTTGTTTTATTAATATAAAAAAATGAAGAGAACACCAATATGTGGTGTTGTTTCTTTCATGGTAATACACTAAAAAGAAGTATTAAAAGAGAAAAAAATGTATGGGATCCAACCGCTTATATTTTTTGTTCGATTTTCTTCTATCTCTTCTTCAGAAAAAGAAAAAGTTGAAAAACAATGCATCTATAATTCACATGAAGGGAAAAATGACTTACCTTCCTCTCATCCAAATATCATAAGCCTCCGGGCATTTTTTATATGTTCATCATCTAAAAGTTTACTAGGGAATTTCTATTAAATTAATAGTTTTTAGAAGACTGCAATGCTTAAAATTTTCTCAGAAGTTTTGAGGTTTCAGATGGTTTTTTATACAATATTGTGATCTTTTTTACGTCGAATGCAATGAAACTAGCTGATGTTCGTACCTAAAAAACCTTGATTTCTGGTAATTGTCGATCAAAAACTTTACGAAAAGAAAGGAACTTCTACGAGGGAGGAAGTTTACTAAAAAATGCAAAAATAGATATGAAAACTATGATAGAGTAAAAGTTAAATGGGCAAGGGCTTAGCAGTCAAAAACTACAATGGGCAAACCTCAAAATGAAGTGGGCAATTGCCCATTTGCCACCCCCCCCCCCCCCTGGCTACGCCACTGCTCTCAGATGCTGAACTTTCATGAATACGATAATGAGTAATTATAGGCCCCAAAAGACCTATATAATAACTCCCAATACACCCGTAATACAGGGTATTACTAATTTATGCTAACAGCACAAACAGCCAACTTTTCGAGATCGCATGTCGATCACTGCTACAAACACCCACAACTCGAGGAGTTATGAACACAAACACCCGCAAACACCCACTTTTCTTAACTTTTAAGAAAGATAAACCCCTGACAAACTCGAAAAAACCACTTTCCTCAACACTAACACCCAATAGCTCTCTTGTAGTCCCGACAAACACCNTAAAAATCTGCGAAAGACCATGAAAAATGCATGAGCAACTAGAAATATTTACTCATAGAAGGAGGAACGAAGAAAAAGGATATGTGTATATAAACAGGTAGTTATTCTTCTCTTGAATCTTAAGAGTGTGGGTGAGTTTTTTTTGGATTAGATCGTCAGATTTCTTCTTATTGTGAAGTACATCAACATTAATGACATACGTATGTTGCCTGACGGTATATGAGTAAAGTTATAATATTTTAATCTTCACCCATACTCATACTCTCAAGATAGACTGTTAGCCCATACTATGATCTGTATATTACTGAACATACTTATCTATATCCATATAAAGGATACTACAATTTATTTTATACTGAAGATAATTCTCATCAAGTTTATTCTGAATGTGTTTAATAAAATAAGTACATGAGTACGCTGAATAAAAGACTGTTCTTGTCTAAAGATAGAATGTTGGAAATATCTTGGTTTTAGTGTTCATTGTGATTATTGATAAATAAAAAACTGAGTTGAAATGACAAGAACTTTTGCTTGTTACAGCGAAACAAAGTAACCAGTTTTCTCAGCGAAAACCTGCAAAGCAGACGCATACCAATTGATTTCACTGGTAATCGATTTTCTGGGTCCAACAAGCATCATCCACCATTGATAAGGTTGCATCGCTAAATGAGCAAGATAATGATTTCGTACATTAGCATAATTTGAACAAACAACACTATCAATGATGATTGTACCCGATGCTGTAAGTGGAGCGTAAAAGCCTTGTGATTGAACTGTTTCAATTTGAATAACAGTACCAGCAAGTATTTCTTGATGGTTAACAACTTGTATTTGAGATCCGATATTGATTTCTGAAGCAAAAACAGGATTCTGTTGACCATAGAGAAAAATCAAATGTTTCGAAGATATTTCGATGCTTGAAGTCAAATTTTTTCCATTGTTAGGAATAAAATTTAAACGAAGAAACTTATACATGTTTGTGCGTTCCATATGAATAAAGTCGAAAATTGGTTCAAATGTTGGCTGGATGCCATTGAAAACAAGTATTTCTTCACCGACTTCAACTTCAGATATAGGTTTTATACGCCCATTACGAGTTTGTACAGTACTTCGGCCACTGAAACAGGACGCTGATTCTGCTGTAGTGACACAGGTCAATGCAGCACAGTAATAACCACTAGTAGCCGTTTGAGAACACGTACATGTTTGTGTGACATCACCTACCTTGCCTAATACGTTATTTACGGTAAGATACAGAAAGACGAATGCAAAAATCTGAAATTTCGAATGCATATTGCGATATGGATTGAAGAGAAGAATAACTACCTGTTTATATACACATATCCTTTTTCTTCGTTCCTCCTTCTATGAGTAAATATTTCTAGTTGCTCATGCATTTTTCATGGTCTTTCGCAGATTTTTACGAACTTGTTTGTTAATACTATTACTAATGCATATGACTAATATCAGAAAAATCATAAACATACGGAAGTTGGAAACTGAATTCAGGGATTCATATCAAGTACCCACTTAAAATATAATTCATGTATACATGTATTTCCCAATAGTCTTATCTTTTATGATCGATTAATCATATACTTGAACTTTGCTTTTGACAATAATAATAAATAACGCTCGTCGAGAATGACTCGCATTACCCTCGACTGATAAGATCAATGGAAGATATAACAAGTTATTATTTTATTGTTCTTTATTTTGCGCAAGAGAAAATCCTTTTCACTATGAAGTTTGCTTGTTTTTCAATTGGAACATAACACGTTGAGGATATAATGAGCAACTACATGAAAGAAGAGAAATAAGCTCTATTAGCTTTAACTGACCTTTAAACAAGTAAATATTGAATGTAAACGAGTACGAATAAGAAAAGTGAAACAAAAAATAGTATTTCACAGCAAAATTGAAAAGGAAACTTGCACTTTTATTACGAACAGAAAAAAGTTTCAACTGTGCAAAAGATTTCTACAATTACAAGAGATGCCAATAGATCAGATACTAGAATTGGGTGACAAGTAGTGGAGATTTCGTGTGTTCTCTAGAATTTCTGAAAATCATTCTGAAAAACGCATCTGTGTTTCCATGTAGAGTTTGTCTAACCTTTGGATCTCGGCAACTTGAGATTTGCTGGGTTTGATCACTAAGACTTTGTAATCAAAGTGTCGTAAAATAATTAAATCGTTCAAACGCTTCACTCTTGATAATGGTACATAGACTGTAGCGATGTCATCTGTATCTTTTGGTAACTTCAGATCAATGACAACTTTGTTTAAAGTTTGCCCTTGACTTTTGTGAGTTGTGATAGAATAGGCGGGTACAAGAGGTAACGCGCGTCGTTTGGTCTATAACATTGCCTTTCTATTTGTTTTTTGTTTGTTATTGAACTTCGGAAGAATATCCGATATGTCTACGTGAAATATTTGTTCCATTATTGGTATTGGAATGAGTTTTGGTTGAAGCTTTTCAAGATTGCACTCAATTTTGGATTTGCTTATTTTGAACAATGCATACATTGGCTAGTGCACATATGTAGCGTTCATTGGAAATGCTATTGATATACTGTCTGTTGAGACTGAATCAGTATCATAAACTAGTTGTCTAAATATTCCATTCATGCCGTTAATTAATCCGAGTTCAATAGCAATATTTTGTGTAAGAATAACTGACATTCCAGGAACTAACGGTAGTAACAAACCCGGCAAGTGCTCAGTCTTACTGTCAGATAATTCCAGTAATTTTTTAAGGAGTGCCGGCTCTTCTACAGGTTTGCCTTTACAAAAGTCCTGGGCAGCACATACCATTGGATTACAACCTGCTTGTACTGCATTATGAATTGCCGACCTGTGATTCAGTTGCCTTCGTATTTCATTTCTAAACACAAGCATGGGCGACTAAAACAAAAAAAGCATAGAAAATATGTTTATTTAGAACAGAGAAATATATCTTACTTGATTCCATGGTGGTTCATGAAGAGATACTGATGACTGTCCAACAACACGCGTCAATAATAATTCATAATCTTCATAACTACATTGACCTTGACGAAGTCGTTCAAGTAACTGAAGATATCGTATGTCTTCTGTTCGCATCTGTTGAGTAAGTTTGACCACACAATT